TTTGCCTGTTTTTTTTCTGTAAGTGATTCCAGGGGAGATGGGGAAAGGAGAAAGCTGCCTGCCCCCCTGCCCACCCCCAGCAATACCCAAAGCCCCACCTGTGGGGGGCAAGGCAGCCCCCCAGCCCGGACACCGAGCAGTGAGGAAAGAAATCTCATCCCTTCTCTTTCTCCTGACATCCTTTTTTTTTTTTTTTTTTTTTTCTCTTTTTTTTTTTTTTTTTTTTTTTTTTTTTTTTTTTTCAGTTTTTTTTTTTTTTTTTTTTTTTTTTAACATATAAAATACTCACTCATGTATTTACCGCTAATAAATGCAAGTTAGTCCCATCAAACATGCTTTGCTTCGATATCAAGAATTGGTGCTGAACAAATCCTGTCTGGATATTAGAAACATCCCCCACCCTAGCCCCCCCGACCCGACGAAGAAGAGAGAGAAATATCATGGAAAATACAGGTGACACCTACAGAGGACACGGGGCCGCTGCTCCCGGGAGCACATCAGTGCCTCAGCCATGGGGACATGGCATGACCACGCTGAGGGACCTCTGCCTGCCTCTGGAGGGTTGTAAGCACTCCAGGGCTGTGCCACCGTCCCCTCGGGGACATCTGAGCCCAAACAACAGCACCTGGACACTCCCAGAGCCCAGGATTTTGGGACACAAACCAAGGGGAGTGAAGCCTCGGTCGCCACTGCCCAAAGACAATCCCCAAATCATGCCCCAGTGAAGGCAGAGGGGTGGATTGAAGCTCCCTGGCATTGCTCAGTCCCAAACTGGCTCCTTGTCCCCCCAGCGTCCAGGGGGAAGGGGGCAGGGATCCAGCAGCTCCCTACTGCCCTGCAGAAAAACCCCAAATATCCACAGACATCCCCCACCACGCCGGGGCTCAATGCCACCTCACCCACCAGGACAGGGAGAGCCCCAGATCCCATCCATGGGGACAGGGAGAGTCCCAGGTCCCATCCACGGGGACAGGGAGAGTCCCACGTCCCATCCATGGGGACAGGGAGAGTCCCAGGTCCCATCCACGGGGACAGGGAGAGCCCCAGATCCCATCCATCGGGACAGGCAGAGCTCCTCACCCTATCCAGGCAGGGAGAGCTTCAAATCCCACCCATCCAGGCAGGGAGAGCCCCACATCCTGCCCCAGTGGACCCCAGCACCCCCAGAGCACAGTAAGCCCTGGGACTCTCCTGGAGAGGCACTGACATTCCCTACGGAGAAGGGTCCCCGCTCCAGCCGGGTGCAGGGACCTGGAGGATCCCACTGTGGCCACCTGGGTGGCTCTGAGGGGCTCCACCGACTGCAGGAGGGGTCCAGAAACCCTCGAGGTTTCTGAGGGCAGCGAGGACAGGTGACCAGGGAGGCAGCAGCGTGGGGACCCTGTCCCCACGGCGTGTCCCCATCCTGTGCCACCCCCAGGCTGCAGCTGCCTAGTGCTCCCCGAGCGCCCGCGGAGCTGAAATTTGTCTTTTTTCTCTCAGAAAAAAAAGCCCAAGACAGCCCTCAGTGAAAACACCACCTCGCCACGGCCCTGGGCAAGCTGGCAGCGAGCCCAGGCTTCCCCATCCCGGGATTTTTTTCCCTTTTTAGTGTTTTTCCCTATGGAAACAGCAAACAGTGGTGATGCTGGGCCCGGAGCGGGCGGATCCCCCGGAGCACTGCGAGCCCCCCAGCCTGGCCCAGCCCTCCTCTCCCTCGCCACCGTATTGCTCAAACAGCACTAGGCATGGATACAAAAATAAAACAGCTATGTGACTTAGATATATATAATTTGTATATATATATATATATATATTTGTATATATATTTTTGTCTATTTATAGGTGGATGGAGAAGCAGAGAAGCTGAAGCGCAATATAATGTAAAAATACTCGCTCTGCTCCTGCTGTTGAGACTCTCCCCACCTCTGACAGCCTCTCTCATGCTGCACAGAAGTTTCTGACACCTATTACTAACGAATTATTTTAAATATTTATTCTCCCCCCCTTCTAAAATAGAGAGTAAATATATATTTGTTTAATTTTATATACAATGCGGTTTCGATACACCAATATCATTTCTTTAGATAGAGATACTGGGGCTCATTGCTCAAGTCTCTTTTTTTGTGTTTTATTTTAATCTAAGTGCTGGGGGGGGAGTGGGTGGAAATCTGAGGAGCTTTCAGACCCGGGAAGACGGGCACCCTCTTCTGCAGCCCTGCAACCTCAGGAGAACAGGAATAAAAGCCCTCCTGGGAGAGAAAGTGTCATTTTGATGGTAAATATAAAATCTGGGCAAACTGTCCTCCATCCATGGGGGATGCCAGCCCCTCCATCCTGCATTTCCCACCCCACTGCAACCAGTACAAAAATCCTTAGCTACCTCTACAGAGCATGCTTGCCTCATCCAACACCCCCGAGCCTGGACCAGCCCCTCTGCCCACCCCCTCCCCAGGTCCTCCCTCCATCCATGCACGTATCAAAAGTCAGCCAGAGCCCCAGGACTGGGGATGCTCGTCCTGCTGCCACGCAATGCCGAGGAAAAGAGCTCAGCCAGCTGTGCCAAAACACCTGAACTTGGGGAAAACGGGCAAACACGGCTCCTCCTCAGCCCAGTCACCCAGGCAGGGGAACAGGCTCCCATCTCCGTCCCCTCCCACAACCAGACTGGTCCTCCCTGCCTGGGGATGTGCCAACTGATGGCAATTAAGAGCAATGTTCAGTTTCTTCTTTTGCTGGCACCAGTGCTGCCAAATCTGGCCGCTGCTTCCCAGCCCTCAGTTCCTGGATCAAGCATTCCCTGACAGATCTCTGATAGGAGCAACTGCACTTCCCACCTCTCCTTCCCACAGACGCGGGCAGAGAGGAGTCAAGAGACTCAGAAACAGAAAAAAAACCAACAAAATTAAGCTGAAGGGGCGAAATGGGAGTAAATGTCCTGCTTTCTGTGAAGACTACCCCATGTCCAGACAGCACAGGGGTGGCTCTGGGAGAGGAGTGGCAATCCAGCCTGAATCCGGCTGCCCTCGTGCCCGGGGTCAGCACCAGCTTTGGCATCACTGGTGACTAAATCCCTCTCTGCCTCAGATCCTCAAAGTCCTGCTAATGGGGTTTAAAATAAAAAGACACTGTCAGGAACATCTTGTCCCTCCAAGGAGGCACTGCCGGGGCTGGCTGGCACAGCCAGTGCTGCATTCCTCAGCTCAGGGGACAAATTTAGCTGTATCCCTCTCTCATCCCTTCTGACTCACGCTTCTCTGGGAAGAACAGACGCAAAGCAAAATGCTTTCATACAAGTAACCAAAGAGCAGCATCTAGAGGGACTTGAGGGAAGGGTTTTTGCGTGGTGCAGCTTTTTCTTTAAGTGATGGCACCAGACAGGAGGCAATGTGACATCCCCTGCCACGCCGTGTCCCCACGTGCCTCGGACACGCGGAGCACAGGACCTGTCCCTCTGCTCCTCCATGCCACGGCCCAGGGGTGAGTCACAGACAATGAACAAAGCAAAGCTAAAAGTGGGGATGAAATCATGAAACAGAGCACTCTGTCGTGTGCAGCAGGGCCACAGCAGAGCTCACGCCATCCCCAGATTCCCCTCAGGCTGCAGCTGCTCCCAGCCCCTTCCCCGCTTTGCCCATCCTGATCCCCTGCTCCAGCACGGCTCTAACCTCTCCCCATGACACACACATACCCCGACATGCAAATCTACTGAATTCTGCAAACCTAGCTACCTTTGTCCTACGCTTCTCTAGCTATTTATATCTCATATGTACAGTGGGTTTTACTCTGGTTCCTTGAGAAGATTTCCTTCCGAAAAAGCCTTGACTTCAGTCTGGGGCTGCAGCCAGCCCAGGTGAGACGTGTGGAAACCCCTAAAGGTCCAGCCTCATGGAAAAATACCTACAGACGAGATCTACAGCTGGAACCAACCCAAATCTTTGAGAACTCCCAAATCTACGTCACTGCCTGAAGCAGGAAGAGAAACCAAAATGCCAGGTGGATTTTGTCCTAATGCAGAAGGCAAGGTGGGAGCAGCAATGAGTCTGGAATGTGTGTCACGTCTGGATGCCACCAGACATGACTAAGCCCTGCCAGGACCGTGCCTGAGCTGCTGAGCCCAAATCCAGTGTCCTCAACACTCCCAGACGCAGGTTCAGCAAGTTGTTATTCCCTTTATATTCCCTTTACATTTATATAACCAAACAGCATCACCTCCAGCTTTCCTCCAAAGCGGGTGGCACTGAGCCAGCAGACAAGGTGACAAACACCAGATGAACAGCCCGGAGTCCCCCAGTGGCCCACAGCAGCCTCCAAGTCACAGGGCAGCAGGAATGAGAATCCTCCCAGGAAAAGCATCCTCTGCTCCCACAGACACCCTGGGGGCTCACGGAGACCTCTCAGCTCAGGGCCAGGCTGCAAACCACACTGAGGTTCAGACTGGGAAGGGACCCTGGGACCTTGCAGCTCCCCCACCCACACACTCATCACTCCCTGTGCCTGTGGGTGCTGTCAGTGGCAGGCACAGAAATGGGGCCCCACAAACGAGCCCTGAACGCTCCCTCTCCCCCCTTTACACTAACTTGTATTTTCCTTCACATCAACACCGCAGAACCAAAGCGCTGCTGGGGCTGCACGGCAAAGTCACCTTAGAAACACGTGGATGAGAGCTCAGCAAGTCCTGCTGGAAAAGCAGGCAAAGCACTTTCCCTGCCCTTTTTCCCTGCCTGCTCCAGGACTCATTGTCAGACTGCAAGGACAGCACCCCAGAGCCCCCCTTTTCCACAGGGTCTCCGTGGCATCCTGTGCCCACCTCTCCACGTCACCTCCCCCAGCTCGGGGTGCCCCAATCCTGCAACCCCAAGGCGGCACGGAACCGGTGCTGGAGCATCCCCACCATGGCCACCTTGCAGGGAGAAGCATCAGCAAGGACCCCCAAAGCTGGGCTGGCACCCCTGCATTGACTCCTGAGCAGAGCCCAGGGACAAATAACCTTGTGATTCAGACATTTTTTCACCGTGGGCCAGGATTTGCCAAGGGAGCTAATGGAACATCATGTTCGCAACGTGCAAGGAGGAATCGTACAGTTACTGATACAGAAAGAGCCATCTACCTCAGACCAGCTTAGAAAATAAGAGAGTTTGGCCCAGGAAGATAAAAATCAAGATATATTTTGCAGCATGAAAGGAAAAGAATAAAAAAAAAAAAAAAAAATGAAGAAGCAGCAGCAGCAGTGACAGCAGCTGTGTTTGCAAACCACCAAAGCGACACGGAGTTCGAACGGGGGTGAAATGGGGGAAGTGTTTGGCATCGTCTGACACGGCTTCGATGTTTCCAGGTCCATGGAAGGAGAGAGGAGCAACCCTGAAGGGCATGGAAACCAGAGGGCTGGGAGAAGCGAGGAGGTTGCCAAAGCAAGAGGCGAGCCAGTCAGCCAAAGCACGGCCCGAGTCTATTGGAAGGTAACTCGGTCTAGCAGGGAAAGGAGTTAAGGATGGTTTTAGGGAGGAGCTGCTTCCACGAGGCGCCCGGGCGGGATTTCCCACTCCAGCAGCGTGGCAGGTACACGGCTGAAAGAGAGAGGGCTGCAGCTCCAGCCTCTAAAGGTCGAAGACCATGAAAAGCCCAGTGGCTCAAAACACCTGCAAAAGGAAAACAACTCTCAAAAGACTGACCCAGCAAGCCGGCATGCTCCGTCAACCTGCCCTGCACTCCAAGTCCTCTAGAGCTCCTTAAGACGGGATGGGGCATAGTCCTGAGGTAGCAACCTCAAGAGCCTGAAGACAGCGCCTGGCCCATCCGAACGGGTGTTGTAAATCGTTTGGAAAGCACTCAAATGGAAAAGCAAGCCTCTGTTTGAGAGGCTGAGGCAATGAGAGCAAAAGGAAGAGCAAGTTGGCCATGGCACGGGCAGCACAGAGCCTCCACGCCTCCCCCGGCCCCGAGGGTCACCTGTCCATCAGGAGCAGCCCGGCTGCAGTGACTGGCGAGCTGAAGTTTGGTCAAGCCAGGCAGAGTTCTTCCCGCTGCCGAGCGGGAGAATGGCATTAAATCAATTCAGATCCGAGCAGGTTCTAGGGAAAAACCCTAAAAACACACCCAAAGAAAAGAAATTGGCAGTCATACTGTTAGCAAGGTTGAGTTCTCACTCTGAGATTTGAGGTTCTTATGTCAGGTCACTCGTCACGTCAATAAAAAGCCCTGGTGCAGGCTGGAAAGAGAGAGGCATTTCTGCCAGACCCTCCCTCCTTCCCAAGACAAACCTGGTGATGGTTTGAGAAAGTTGTTAAAGCTCAGAAATATCTGGTTATCGATTTAGAGGATTCATTGTCCAGTGGTTCAAACCTTACTGAAGGGCTGGAGATTGGAAAAGACACGGTGCTCTGCTTTTGGTGGCCACAGGTTCCCGAGCATCCTGCTGGGAAAGGAAGCACAACCTCTCAAACCAGGCATATGGAGGCAGAGCCATCAACAGGCTCTGACCTAAAAGTGTGGCATGGTCGGAGAGCCAGATCACAACAGAGAGCTCACGTCTTCCTCCAAACATCTCAGCCCTTGTAGGTTCAACCAGCAGCAAGAGCAAAAACCAAGGCAAAGCAGAATTAAAGGCGAGATTGCAGAGAATCTCTTGGCAATTCTACCTGGGAATAAACAAAAGTTTCGTATGCAAATAGAGAGCCTGAGGCTAAAAACATGCCTGCAGGCTCTCCAGCTCTCCTGATGCTTTTTCTACAGCCTGAATCCACTCAAAGCAAGAATATCTACATGAAACACTCGGTGTTTTATTCCCAGGCAGGCTGGAGGGTTTAGCACTTTACCGCAGAGGAAGAACTGTGCAAACCTGGATGCAGTGGTTGATTTTACCACTTCAAACAAAAAAAAAAAAAGAAAAATAACCAACTCTAAATATTTTAAAGGTAGGGATTGCTTGGTATTAGCACTAAGCATTTACATAGCACTTGCAGTCTGTAGGCCACCAAGTGCTTGCCCAAAGTGCTCAAATATGACTTATCCCCATTTTACAGATGGGAGAACTGAGGCACAGAGAGGTCAAGTGACTTGCCCAAGGCCACGCAGTCAGAGAGTGGAGGCAGAGCAGGAAGTGAGCCCAGCTGTTCTCAGGTCACACCTTGCCTGCTAAAAACAAACCAAAAAAAAAAGGCCTATGCAATCCAGAACACCACCAGCCACCTAACCTACCCTATTCTGAAGAGGAAATACATTCTGGTGAAGAGTTAGAACAGCATTACTGAAGGGAACAGGGGGCAGAGGGAGGGACACAACCCTGGCAGGTGTCACAGCCGACACATCCGGGCTGGAGCAGGAAGGAAAAAGGGAAAAACGGTGAAACCAGCAGCAACACATTTTAAGCTGGCATTAAACGCTGGGCTTAGCTTTGCATGGAGCCATCCATCCGCAGAGCTGGGCACTTCCAGATGCTCTCCCTGGGGCTCAGCACCTGCCGACGGAGGCTCTGGGGACCACGCAGCCAAACCCCGTTCGCTCGCACGCCTGCGTCTCCCGCTTCGCAGTTATCGGTAGAGATTAAACATCCCACAGTAAGAAATCACATCACCACGCGGCGCTGGGGAGCATTCGCCTGAGATACACAGAGCGTCGGGCAGAATGAATCAAACCCACCCTCATCAAAGCTGGCACACGCCACACCTGGAGGGGGAAGCACCCTCAGATCACATCAGCCCCGTAAGTGCGCGCTCGCACGGCATCAAGCACACGTTGCCGAGGCTCAAGTGCATTTGCACACAGACAAATGGTGATTTCTCACATTGATTCAAGGCTCGGGGTCTTTCTGGCTTTTCCCTTTCAGAGATAGGGTAAGGAAAGGTGTCATGGATGGTTTTGCTGCTGTTACCTTCACGTCAAAGGAGGCTGGGAAGGGGGAGGCAGGGAGATTTTCACAATTACAGCTTTCCTGGGATTATTTGGTCATGTTTTTATCATAATCAGATTCATGGGATTACCAGCTCCCGCCTGGGTTGTTAGGTTCTTGTCACTTAATTACACCCTGTGGCATTCAACTTCTTCTGGCGATTGAGGGCCAGCTGCTCCATCCCACACTTTCCCCCTAAACGCGCGCTGCCGACGCAGATGTCAAAAGCTCCATCCATGCCTTTGAAGCCTAGAGATCGTTTCCAAAACCGAGGTGCAACACGCCCCTTCCCACCCCACCCAAACTGTGTGGGGTGGGGGAGAAGTGGGTTTGAGGAACACCCAGCCCAAAGCATTCTCCCCAAAGCATCCCCCGGGTCCCCCAGCTTGTCCCCGCCGTGAGCCACCGAACCCCTCAGAGAGGTGACAGCTTAGGGGTGTCCCCCCCTCTTTCCCATCACCTCCATCCCCCCATGGTGTGACACCAGCTCCTTCCACCGCTCCTGTTCAACCTCCTGGGACCGGCGCTAGGCTAGAGCAGGGTGGCGTGCCCACTGGTGTCATCGTGGTCCACGCTGTTGAGAATGGCTGTCTGGTCTTCAGGGAGCTGCCGGTGGCAGAGGTCGTCCTTCAGCGCTGAGAGCCGGGCGAAGGGGTCCTGACGAGGGTGTCTCTTCTTCTTGCGGAGGCAGACAGCTTCGTCAGGCGACAGTACCTGAGAGCTGGGAGGGTGCTGAACCTGGGAGGCAGAGCCATCTGGGAAGGGGGGAGAGAAGGCAGATGGGACTGGGGCCAGCAGCAGGCGGAGCAGAGCGCTTTGCTTGCTGAAAAAGAGAGGTGACAGCAAGCCTGGCCCTGAACCCGCAGCATGGCAAGAAGGGAAAATGAAATTAACACTCAAAATTCAAACAAATTACTAAATATGGGAGATGCATGGAAAGGACAGGGTTTGGAGGAGCAAAGGAGGGACAACCTGCAGGCGAGCAGCCCGGGGAGACATCCCTTTGGGAGGCAGGGAACAAGGGCAGCATCCAGGAACAGGCTTGGAGAACCCCAGCGCTGGAGCCGGCAGGGATCTGCCCAAGCTCTGCTCAGAGCAGGACACAGGGAATGCTGTTGGGGACCGTGGGGTCCTCGCACTCACTGGGTTGTTTTCTGGATTTCGAGGAGCCCTTGGATGACTTTTTGGGCTTCTTTATCCGCTGGTATTTCAGAGCTTCGAGCCTCTCAGGTGCAGCAGCGTCCCCGGGCGGAGATGGACGTTTTCTAGGAAGGAAAAGCAGACACGCGCCATCAGCGGCTCCCGGCCACGCCCGGGCCGCTGGACGTCCCCGGTGGGGGATCGGCCGATCCCAGCTGGCTCTGCCGTGGAAAAGGAAGAGGTGAGAGACCTGGGGCTGAGGGAGCAGGGCCAGCCAGGTGTGCCAGAGTGCGGGATGGAGGAAGTGAGGCGTCCCCGCTGTGCCCCTACGTCTCCTCCAGGTTTTCGAGCGGCACCGCGACCTGGCCGGTGCCACGTCCAACACGGGCACCCCCAGCTCACCTGCCTGCCATGCCAACACTGCTAAACAAAACAGCACGGGGCAGATCCTATGTCCGATAAGGCATTTCTGGGAAGTGGTAGGAAACCCCTTGGGATGGAGAGAGAAGAGAAAGAGATAGGCAGAAGCGGCACGGCAGCATCGAGACGGGCACCACGAGCCACCCGGGGCGGACAACACCTGCGCCACAAACAGCAGGGAGGCAGGATCCTGCTGGCCCTGCTCCCACAGCCAGAAAAACCAGGGGCCACACGACAGACAGGGACACCAAGGGCACACACCGACAGAGCTGGGAGAGGTACCTCGTTCCCAGGTCCCTGTGAGAAGCGACAACAGAAACGCGACAGCACAGGAGCATCTGCTCCTGGAACAGCGAGAGGCTGGGAGCTGGAAATGGAAACACTGACAAGGTTTCATTGCAAGGACAAGGAGGACATTTGCAAAGGGGTGCTTCCTGCAGGAGAGCCAGGAGGTGTAAGGGATAGTTTATCAGCTGTACCCCCTGAGGAACTCTTCTAGGTGCAGTATCCTCCCCTTTGCAAAGACATTTTTTGTTTCATTTCCTTCACTGTACCTGTTTTTCCCATCCAAGGCCTGGAATGCACGACTGCTGTAGAGAGCAGAGCATTAGAGGAAAACCTTTTTCTTAGGAGAGCAGGCAGTCCAGCTCTATCTATAGCACATCACAGCATCCCCCCTTCTTGCTGCTCTCCCATCTCCTTCCCCCTCTCCGTTTTACTTCCACGACCCTCCAAGAGTCACCAACTCCTATTGCCACAGAAGAAGTCTGAGGCCATCTGGGATAAACCCAAGCCACTTGCAGACAAGGTGTCCAGAGAAGACAGGAAGCCTCCACAAAGCACCTTTCAGTGCAATAAAGCAAACATTTTAAGCCAGGCTCCAATGAGGAAAGGAGATTTAAACCTTCAGAGGAGGAGATGACTCTCTTCTGCTCACACAACTTGGTCACCAGAGGTCAGCAACCAAACCTTGTCACAGGAGCCACACAGAGGAGCGTGCTGATGGCAGCTCCTGCATCCATCTGTGACCAGGGCAGGGACCAGCATACCCCACAAGCCACGGGCAGCAGGGGGGCAGGAGGAGCCTTCAGACACAGAAGGCTTTGGGCACAGAACCACTGAGGATGATGTCCCCCTGTCTGTCAGCAAGGTGTGCCCCATCCAGCACTGCAAAACCACCGTGGCTGCTGGCAGGAGCAGCAGGGAAGGGGCGAGGACATGGGCTGGAGCACAGACCCCACGCTCCTGGGCTGTGGTACCAGAGTACACCCACCCACAGAGCTCCTGGAGCTCCTCATCTCCCCTGAGGTCCAGGCAGAGCCTGGCTGGCACTGAAGACACCCTGCAGGCTTTTCCCCACGGGTCCCATGTGTGCCACCACTGCCGAGCACAGTGTGACAGCAGCGCTTCCCATCCGACATCCCAAGGGCCTCCAGAGCGTTGAGATTTCAGCTGGGGCACACAGGCAAGGAGCTCCCAGGAGATTTTTCCCTTTGGGGAGCAGGAGGGGGTTTGGGTTTTTTTGAAGATGAGTGTGATTGCAAAACTTCTCAGCTTTGCTGGCAGCACTGGAGAGCACCCAGGGAAGTGCAGCGTGAGGTGAAGAAGCAGCTGAGGCGCAGCAGACGCAACAGAAACCCAAACACTGGGCACAGAAAAGCTCCTTTTCATGTTTTCCAACGCAACAGAGACGTCGGGGTGTGGAGATTTCCTGGTGAGCCTCTGTTCCAGCTCCCAGCAGAGCATCACGTCAGCCGAAGATGAAGCAGCTCATTAGACATTCTGGGAGTCCTGCTGGCTGGATCCAGGCTTTTCCTATCCAGAAGACGACGTTTACATTTGCAGAGCTCAAACGTTTTCCCAAGTGCAATCAGCCTCTTGTGAGAGAAGCTGCCAGCAGCAGCTCCACCCTCTGAGCTGAACCAACTGAGCCATGCACGTGCTGGCTGAAGGTAGGACCATAGCAACCCACAGGTCACCATGCCACCACATGGCATTCCCTGCAGCAATTCCTGCTTGAATGGCCAGTAACAGGCTTTTCCCACTTACAGCCAACATTCTGTGGGGTGCACATGAGTTACATCCCCACAGGTACTTGGCTAATGGTGATTTCAGCTGCTCCAGCTCCATCACCCACAGAGTGTGCCAAGCCCTGGACAGCACCGAGCTGGGTGATCCTGCCACCATCCTGCCCCCACCAGCACCTGCCTTCTACCACATCTTCCCACCACCCAGACAGCTTTTGCCACTGTAATTAAAGCTCAGCCTGTAAAAGTCTCTTCCTCTTTCCACTCTTTTTTCTTTCCAAGAAGAAGCTGTTGTGGCATACTGACAAAATTAAACAGATTTACATGAGGGATTATGAGGAAATTGCCTGAAGCTCATTTCCACTAGTTCTCCGTAATTGAACTCGTATTTATACACACAAACATAAACAGTGAGTGCACTGAACCCATGTGTCACCATAAATACTGTCTGACCTCTGGCAAGGAAGAGATACAGAGGACAAAACGACGCTACTCAGCAGCCAAATTTTATCTGCTCTACCCACCCTTTATCTCTTCAAAGGGTGCCGATTCTTCCAAATTAGTTTTCATTTTAAGCTCAGCCAAAAGCCTCTTCCTGCCCTCAGAGTTCACATTCTGGGCAGCTGCCCACGCATGAAGGAGCTCTTGAATACCAACAGATGAAATGTTCAGGGAGGTGGGAGAACTTCTGGAAACTTCAGTGTACAGCCAAGCAAAGGAGCTTTGAGAAGCCCACGTGAACTCCTGGCACCAACCTTCTGCGAGGTACCACCAACACCTGGAGCAGCAGTTTTCCTTGAGTCTTCAAAGGAAAACCCTTCTGCATGAGCAAGTGTCTGGACTGCATGGACTGGGAGGTACTGGAGAGGCCACAAAGGTACTGAAGGACCTTCAAGAGTCCCAGGACAGGAAAAGGAAGTAGAGGAGAAGTATCCAGCCCAACACACATCACAGCTGCTCTTCTTCAAATGTCCTTCCATGTACAAAGCAAAGGTATAAGGGAGAAGATGCCTGAAATCATCACTGAGCTCTTTCCACTCAGAAGGGAAACCCATATAAAGGAAGGGTGCAGGAGATTCAATGATCCTATATGTATATTCATATATATTCAACCTCATGGAGGTCTGAACACACCCTCCCTGTCTCCTCCTCT